ACGGCCCCTCCTCGCTGCTCCTCTGATTTTCCTGCCTTGGCATCCCCCTGGCACCAGGAACAGCAGCTCCTCCCAGGCAGACACAGGGCTGCCTTGGCTCACCTGGTGTACATTTCCTTCCCAGGAATCAGCCAAATCCTTGGCTCCCCCTCACATTCCTGCTGCTGGGGTGGGCTGGACCATTAGCTCTGACAAGTTAATGGGCTCCTCCACCGAAGCCATGTCCATGTTTCCGCTGTGTCAGGAACTTCCAGGAGAGGCAGACAGTGGACAGTCCCCTCCTCTTCCCTTGGGGAAGCACCAGAAGTTGGTTTTGGCCCCTTGGAGCCTTTCCCTTGCCAGAGATGCCCAGCCAGGAGCCACTCCCCTCTCCCTCTGCTCCCCAGTCCTCCCCTTGGAGATGTGTGCCCATCCCAGTGTGCCCAGCTCCCCACCAGGGCCACCCCCAGGCTGGGGTGGTTTGGGGAGCTCAGATGTGTCCCTGATGTGCTCTGCTCTCAGAAATACCCCCAAGGCAAGGTTCTCCCAGAACCATCACTTTGCCCAGCCAGGTGGGAGGACACAGATTTCCAGCAGCCCCCTTGCTCCAAGCCTGTCCCTGTGCTTCCCTGCAGGTTTGCATATAAAGATGAGTACGAGAAGTTCAAGCTCTACCTCACCATCATCCTCCTCATTGTCTCCTTCTCCTGTCGGTTCCTCCTCAACTCCAGGTGAGTTTGGCTTGGTGCTGGGCAGAGATCTCCTCCCTGTATCCAGAGCTGAACAGGAGGTCCTGCTAAAGCACCTGGAGGTGGGGTGGGCTGTGTGGCCATGGTGGGTGGTGGGGAGCAGGTCCCTTCCCTTGGGGTGGGTGTCCCATGAGTGTCACCATGCCTGTGCCCCCAGCATGTGCCTTCACCCCCTGCTCTGTGTGACACAGGGTGACAGACGCCGTCTTCAACTTCCTCCTGGTGTGGTACTACTGCACCCTCACCATCCGCGAGAGCATCCTCATCAACAACGGCTCCAAGTGAGTGCCCTGGGCCCGGGGAGGGGCTGGGCCTTCCCTGCCACGGGGGAGCAGCTCCCTCCCACTCAGGGTGTGTGCAAACCCTGCTGGAGCTGCAGGAGGGGCAGGAGGAACCTCCCGTTCTGCGTGGGCAGGTGGAGCTGGCAGGGCCCTGGTGCTGCCCAGCCCCGAGGCCCTGGGTCCTGCTCTGAGCCATTTCCCAACCAGCCCTGGGAGCTGGGGATGGCTGGGCTGGGCTGCTGCACTCTCCAGGCTGCCTTTGGCTCTGGGTTCATGCTCCAGATGTGATGGTGCTTCTCTGTGTCTGCCTCCAGGATCAAAGGCTGGTGGGTTTTCCATCACTACATCTCCACCTTCCTCTCAGGTGTCATGCTGACGTGGTGAGTGTCTGTCCCTTGTCCCATGGAGGGGCTCCTGGGCTGTGGGACAGGCAGGGCTGGCTGTCCCCTCGCAGCCCCATGTCCCCCTGCCAGCACTGTCTCTCCACAGGCCAGATGGGCTCATGTACCAGATGTTCAGGAACCAGTTTCTGTCCTTCTCCATGTACCAGAGTAAGTGCTGCCCTGTGTGCTGGGCCAGGGAATTAACCCAGGTGCTCTACACATGGGGACCTGGCAGCAGCTGCTCAGCTCTCAGCTCACCTGGCAGTTCCCTTGGCTTTGTGGGGTGCTGCTGAGGCTGGAAGGGGATCCCTGGGCAGCTCCTGACAGCAGCCCTGCTGTCCTTGCAGGCTTTGTGCAGTTCCTGCAGTATTACTACCAGAGTGGGTGCTTGTACCGGCTGCGGGCGCTGGGAGAGAGGCACAACATGGACCTGACTGTGGGTGAGTGGGATGTGCCCTGTGCTGCTCAGCTCACTGGGAGCTGTGGGTTCTGCTGCAGGAAATGGAGGCACTTGGATTTGAGGTCACTCTCATCAGTGGCAGGAACAGTAAAAGCTGTAAGTCAAACCAAAGCTCCCAGAGCAGCATCTCCTATGGGGCAGCACCACCCCACAGGATGATTGTCCCCCTCCTCCTGCTCTGCTGGGACCACCAGCCCACAGCTGGCTCCTTCAGGGTGTGAAATGTGGCTCTGGGCATTCCTGGGCTCCCTCTGGATGTGAGGTGGCAGTGGATGTGGCTCTGAGCATCCCAGGTTTGCCCAGGAAGCTCCTTCAGACCTGGCACACCCCTCCAAACCCCAGGCACTGTGGGCTGTCACCTCCCCAGCCCCTGTGACACTGAGGGCAGAGGGAGCAGAGCCCTGTGCTGGATTAGGGGTCCCTGCCACTGTGCCCACGGTGGGGCTGGAATGGCAGCACCTCCTCAGGCAGGCACGTGTGGGCACTGAGCCTCCCTGCCCTCCATGTCTGGGGCAGCTGGGCCCCATCCCCTGTGCACAGCCCATTCCAGCTCCTCACAGAAACCTTCCTCCTTTGCAGAGGGCTTCCAGTCCTGGATGTGGAGAGGCCTCACGTTCCTGCTTCCCTTCCTCTTCTTCGGGCAGGTGAGGCTGCCCCAGTCCCTGCAGGATGTCAGAGCCTGGGGTGGGAGTGGGATGTGCCCCATTCCCAGCTGTGCTCGGTGGCCTGGACACGGCACAGACCCCACAGGCTGCCACAGCAGGGAAATGCTCCGAACAAATGCTGAGCTCCCTGTGGTTGTGGCAGCCACCACAGCTGGGGAAGTGAGGTGGGGAGGAGCTGGGGTGGTTCTGCTGGGTGCTGTGGTGAGAACCCTTCCAAAGCCTTTCCAAAGCCCTTCTGAGCTCCAGCTTTGAGCTGCTGCTGAAACGATTGAGCCCTTCCTCGGTCAGATTGTTGAGGCTGATGGCCAAGGGCTGCTCTGAGGCTTCCTGAGGCCCTTGGGCTTCAGCTGGCCTGAAACAGGGGGGATGTCCCAGCTGGGGTCCTCTGGGAATGAGCCTGGATGGGGTTTCACTGCCCACAAGAGGTCAGGGTGGGGTTTATACCCAGAGGGAGCAGCTGGTGTGGGGTTTATACCCAGGGGCAGCAGCTGGGGTGGGGTTTATACCCAGAGGGAGCAGCTGGTGTGGGGTTTATACCCAGGGGCAGCAGCTGGGGTGGGGTTTGTACCCAGGGGCAGCAGCTGGTGTGGGGTTTGTACCCAGGGGGAGCAGCTGGTGTGGGGTTTATACCCAGAGGGAGCAGTGGGTGTGGGGTTTATACCCAGAGGGAGCAGCTGGTGTGGGGTTTGTACCCAGGGGCAGCAGCTGGTGTGGGGTTTGTACCCAGGGGGAGCAGCTGGTGTGGGGTTTATACCCAGAGGGAGCAGCAGGTGTGGGGTTTATACCCAGAGGGAGCAGCTGGACAGGCTGGGGCCTGGGCTGAGCCTCTGGCAGCAGCAACAGCAGCTCCTCTCCTGACTCTCCTCTCCCCTCAGTTCTGGCAGCTGTACAACGCCATCACCCTGTTCCGCATGCTGCAGCACCCCGAGTGCAAGGAGTGGCAGGTAAGGAGGCTCCTGGCAGGGCCCTGAAGGGGCATCCCCAGCAGGTCCCTGCTCCTGACCCCATCCTCTCCTCCCACAGGTCCTCATGTGCGGCCTCCCCTTCTCCATCCTCTTCCTGGGCAATTTCTTCACCACGCTCCGTGTCGTCCACCAGAAGATCCAGAACAAGAACCAGGACACGAAGGAGAACTGAAGTGGGGCCCTGTGGGGGCCTGGACTGTTTCTCCATCCCCTGTCCCCATCTCCTCAATTCCGTCCGGACTCTGGGGTCTCACCCCATCCCTTGGAGGCCTGGCTGTGGGACAGAGCTTGGGGCCTGCTCCTGGACAGTCCCTGTGGGGCTGGATCCCTGCTGGAGTCACTCACCTGCAGCCAGGGGCACCCTGCACCTCCTGTCCTGGCTGCCTTCCCCATCCAGAGTGGGACAGCCACTGTCCTCCCTGGCACCGGGATGTCCTCTGGCTGCTGCTGCTCCTCACTGGCACAGGGCAGTGCCCAGGGACTGCCTCCCACAGCTCCTGGGGTGCTGCAGCTCCCCCTTTGCCCCCAGCCCTGCCCCCAGGGCAGCTGGGGCTGTGCACAGCTCTGGTTCCAGGGCTGCCCCAGCTCCTCCCTCACCTCCAATCCACAGGGAATGGGGTGGGAGCAGCAGGAGCTGGGGCTGGGCAATGCAAGTGGCAGCCTGGGCTGGCAGCTCCTGAGGCTGCAGATGTGACAATAAAGGGAAGGAGCTGCCCTGGCTCAGTCTGGGAACTGCTCTGTGGCTTTGGTTCATCAGGATGTGGGTCCTGGCACAACCTCCCTGAAAGGAGGGTGGAGGTGGGGGGCAGTAGGACAATTGTCACAATAGGACAAGAGGAAACAGCCTCAGCTTCCACCAGGTTAGATCAGATGTTAAGGAAAATGTCTTCACAAAAAAGGGTTGTCCAGCCCTGACAGAGGCTGCCCCAAGCAGTTGTGGAGTCACCATCCCTGCAGGGATTTCAAAGCCATGTAGATGTGGCAGCTGGGGACATGGTTGAGTGGTGGGTTTGCTGGTGCTGGGTTAAGGGTTGGACTCAATGACTTGGAGGGGTTTTCCAGCCTAAATGAGCCCATGATTTTATGAAAAAATGATTTGGAGGGGTTTTCCAGCCTAAATGAGCCCATGATTTTATGAAAAGTCATCTCCCTGTGCCCTTCCACCAGCCTGAGCTGCAGGGGGTGCTCCTTCCCATGGCATCCCAAGGAGCCCAGCAGAACCTCAGTGTCCCTGGAGGTGGGGAAGAGTCACCCTGCACCAGCTGTACCAGCACTGGGAGCTCTGGAAGAACCAAAGAGCAGGTTGGGCACAGCTGCACCCCAGTCCAGAGCCCTCATTGCCATCCTCCCTCCCCTCCACAGCCCAGCACTCAGGGTAGGGGCTGCCCCCAGCTCAGACCAAACCCAGACCTGCCACCACATCCCCACATTCCCTCCCGGTTATCATCCATTGCTCCTCCTGCCTCTTTCTTCCCTCTGGCTGAGCAGAGAGATGCAGGAAGCAAACTCCAGACACAGGGTTTTTTATTCCAAGGGTAAATGTATTTAAATAATTTACAATCATTGGACAGCCTGGAAGTCTGGGGTTTCTGTTGTTTTTTGTTTGTTTGTTTGTTTTTTTCCATGCTAAAATCACAAAGATGTTCAAAATAAAAACCGTATTTAAAAAATGACCGTACATGATGTGAGGGAGGGGCTGGGCTCAGGGGAGCAGGCAGGGCCCCCAAGGGCTGAGAGCCCGCCTCCAATCCGGCGGTATTCCAAAGGGGGAGGAGCTTCCCGCCGCTGCTGGAGCCAGGGCAAGCAGCAGGAATGGAGCAGGACACGCTGCTGGGGCCATGGGACAGCTCTGTGCCCACTGCCAGCCCCACATGCCAGGGGTGGCAGGAGAGAGGCAGAGCTGCGACCCCAGCCCCAGCACAGCCCCTCCACCCCTCTGCTGTCCCTGCAGGCCAGGCTGGGCTCCAGCCCCGGGGATAAGGCAGCACCTCGTGTCCAGGGAAGGGCTCCCTGGCTGTGTCTGTCCCTCGTGGCCGTGTGCCTGCTGTCCCTGGCCTTAAGGCCAACACTGGTGCACCCTGAGGTGCTGGTGACACTGGTGACACCGCAGCTCCTGGGCAGCAGCCTGAGCTACCCCCCTGCCCTTCTCAACCCTTTCCACCCCCTTGGGTGCCCAGCCTGCCCTGAGGGAATGCAGAGGCCCAGGAAGGGTTGGGAGTGACACCGGGGTAGCCGTGGGCAGAGGACAACACCGTCACCCACAGCAGCAGTGGGTGAGCAGGCACTTGCCAGCTCCCCTGGCCCACACCTGGGGACCTGTTCTCTCCCTGGCCCCGCCAGCCCAGCTCTTAGCTCCACACATCCAGGGAGTAGCGGCCCTTTGTCATCAGTTTCTTTACATAGTCCACGGCCTGGGGCTGGCTCATGTTGCCAAACTCGGAGACGATCTCGTAGAAGGTGTTCTGCACGTCCCGGGCCATGTTCCGGGCATCGCTGCAAACACGGGGTGAGTGAGACACCAGAGCACAGCCACAGAGCCACCTCCCACCCTGCAGGGTGTGCTCACCCCAGCCCCCTGCCCTCCTGTGAACCAGGGCAGCAGAACCCTCCCAGGGCTTGTAATGCACAGCTGGGGAAACTGAGTCACGCTCCTTTTCCTGAGAACTGCCCCCAAATCCCCATCCCGTCCCCAACCTACCCGCACACATAGATGTGAGCCATGCCCTCATTAACCAGCTTCCAGACGTTCTCCTTGTTCTTCTTCAGTAAGTGCTGGACATAAACCTGGCAGGAAACAAGGTGGGAGTGAGGGGAGAGGAGCAGTGCCCCCACACCACAGACTATGGAGAGGGAGGCTCAGGAAGGCAAGGCTGTGCTCACAGCTCTGGGAGACAGGAAAGTGCTGGCTGCTCCTGCCTGCCATGGAGTGATGGGGGCAGCAGGAACAGTGTGGTACCTTCTCAGCCTGGTCCCTGGAGAAGGCCACGTTGAGCTGGGTGAGCACTCCCTCCTTCTGGAAGCGGGCCAGCTCCTCCCGGTACAGGTAGTCCTCGCGCTCGTGGCGGCAGCCATAGTAAAGCACCGTCTCACCCACCTCCTTGCCTGCAGGGTGGGCACACAGCCCCCATCAGCTGGGCCTTCCAGCCCCCTTCCCACCCTCCCCTTGTCCTGACAGCCCCAGCAGCCCCCAGCCCTGTGCTCTCCCCCACCCTGGGCTCACAGATGGTTTCTGGTTACAAGGGGAAGCTCAGGACTGATTCCACAGGCTTTAGAATCCAGTCTGAGTGACCTGACTGTGGTTACTTGGAGGTGTGGTGCTGGCATGTGGTATTCACATGCCCTCTGAACAGAGAGAAGCTGTGAGACAAGCAGAGAAGAAGGAAAACACAATTCTTATCTCGCTTGCTGTGCCTGTGTTGAGCTAAAGTAGAATGCAATATGGAGACTGTTTACCCAAAGTGAGAGTGGTTTGTTCCCTTGGCCTACCAGGGCCAATTGTGTGTGTTGGACTGTCATGGGACAGTCATGAGAGAATCAGAAATGAGTGCAGTTCTGTGCAGTTGCGAGCAAGAGTGCATAGCAGATTCAATTCAGATGAAATTATATAGTATAGTATAATAAAGTAATTAATTAGCCTTCTGATGATGGAGTCAGATGCATCATTCCCTCTCCCCTTTGTTTGAGTCACCTTTGATTTACAATAGTAGCAGAGCTCAGAGAAGTGCCCCAGCTCTGTCCACCCCCAAACATCCTCTGTGGCCAAGAGCAGGACAGACACCCTTGTGTGGACCACACAAACCACCCAGCCCTGCTCACCCTGCCCCAGCTCTCTGCTTTTGGCTGGGCCAACCCACAACAGGACCAGCAAAGCTGCACCCTGGAGGCATCAAACTGCCCCCAGAGAGCCCTGCAGCAGCTCCAGCCCCTGGGCATTCACTCACTCACTCACCCTGCTGCTTGAGCCAGGCCCTCTCCTGGATGAAGCCCATGAAGGGGGCGATGCCGGTGCCCGGCCCGATCATGATCACGGGCGTGCTGGGCTTGAAGGGCAGCCGGAACTGCGACTTGCGCACGTACATGGGCA